AGCTTCATGCCCACTGAGTCGACAGTGCCATCCAACTATCTCATCCTCTTCACCCTCTTCTTCTTCTGCCTTCAGTCTTTCCCAGCATCAGGGTCTTCTCCAGTGAGTCTGCTCTTCATATTAGGTGGCCAAAGTATTGGAGCTTCAGCTTCAGCATCAGTCTCTCCAATGAATATTCAGGGTCGATTTCCTTTAGAATTGACTGGTTTGATCTTGCTGTCCGAGGGACTCTCAAGAGTCTTCTCCAGCACCACTGTTTGAAAGCATTGGTTCTTTGGTGCTCAGCCTTTTCATCTTAGTCGTAATGAATGTCTTTCAATACATTGGCCCCATACTTGGAGAATATCTGGGGAAGAATTGTGATGTGCCAGCTTTCTACTCCTGGGACAGCCATCTGCCACCGCCCTGGGGTGCTCTGACTTGGGCACTCAGGGTAGCTGCAGGTTATGAGGGTCTTACTACACCCAAGGGCAAGCATTCCATGCTCCATACTTTGCTGGTATTTCTCACAGCAACCCCTAAGGTGGGCTTTATTACCTCCATTTTATAAATGTGGCAACTAAGATCCAAGGAGACTAGTGTTTTGCCTAAAGCATCACTGCTAATAAGTGGCAGAATCAAGGATCCGAATCTTGACCTGTTTAATCTCTCAAGTCCACACACTTTTCATCATGCTGGGTAGGTCACTTCACTTGTTTTAACTGTAGTATAAAAATAAGGGGAAGAGAAAAGAAGGCCGTGCAGTTGGGCTAGATTGGTAGTTCTCGGCTCTGGCTGCGTGCTGACTCTGCTGGGAAGACTGAGGAAGAATGTGGAAGCACAGCCCTACTACCGCCAGGGATTCCAGTTCAGGTCCTAACATGTTAGAGCTCCCCCGGCGATTCTAAGGGGCAAGTGGGTTGAGAACCCCTAGTCTTTACACCAATGCTTCGCAAACTGGAACTGCATTCAGTCCACTTGGGTCTGTGTTAAAATGCACATTCTGATCCAGCAGGCCTGGGTGTGCCTGAGATGCTATACTTCTAACAAGCTCCTGGGTGTTGACGATGCTGTGGGTCCATGGACCACACTTTGAATAGTCAGCGTCTGAATGATCTCTATGTCTCTGTCCCCTTCTAACATGATGTGACCGTAGAGAAAGAAGTTCTAAAGCACAGGCGTTCTGTTATGTTTCCACCAAGCTTCCTGCATCCCTATATCCTGTCATCTCCATATGTATTTCTGTTGATGGTCAAAATATGTAAAGGCTAAATGCCAACACGATGGACCATGGGCCGTGGTGAAGAAGCATGGAGTAGGCTTGGGCTCACATCCCAGTTCTGTTGCTTGCCAGCTATGTGAGTTCAGGCAAGTTACTTAACCTCTCTGCGTCTTAATTTCCTCAACTCCAAATTGAGGATAGTAAACCTTTCTTGCATTGAGACATGGGAGGATTAAATGGGTTAATATAGACCAAGCACTTTGTACCAACAGGTGCCCAACAAATGGCAACTGCTGTTACCTTGGTGGACTTTCCAGGCTGGCCTAATCTGATAGAGCGCCCCGGTCTAATCTGATAGAGCGCCCTGTGAGTCAGGGCGACCGTGATCTCTGTCCTCTGCACAAAGCAGAGACCGCCTTTGATCTCAGTGTCGGCTGACACGGTGACGTAAGCCATGTCAAGGCGCAGGACTTTCGGGCCAGTGTCCTTGCATAGAGGATGGCGGGCCAGAGAAACCCTTCCTTCCTCCCTTCTTAGGACTGTTTGATTATCTCCCCATCTCTGTTCCCTGCCTACCTCTGGAAATTCCCTGGGGGTTTTTGTTATTAAAAACAGAGAAGGTTAGCTCTTAAGGTATGGGTTCTTAAGTGCTGCTCTGAGACTAATCGTTAAGAGTAATTTATTCAGTCAGTATTAATAGATGCCCAGGTGCTGGGGCTACCAGGGACAAGCAGAACCTTCACAGTCTCTTTCACCCTAGAATTTGTCAAGGGGGTGGGGGCAGATGTTGAACAAGTGAAATATCCATTTGCCATTGTGGAAAGTGGTGTGAAGGGAAAGAAGAAGGCTTGCTGGAGAGAAAATACTGCCACGTTTGTGGCGCCATCCGTTTTGACTTAAAAGCCTTGTGATTGCCTGTGTAGACAGGGCTGGAGCAGGATAGGAGGGAGGCAGGCCAGGCAGTTAGGAGCTCTGAGGGTGTTCTGGGCCCGGGCGGTGGCAGCGGGGCGGGAAGAAGCTGGTGGAATCACGACTAGGGGCAGCTTTCTTTCATTTGCCTTAAGTATCATAAAAATGTCAGTTTGTAGATTGAACAGTTTTATAGTTTTCCCCCTTTGGTTCAATACAGATGGGCTTCCCTTGGGGCTCAGCTGGTAAAGAATCCGTCTGCAATTTGGGAGACCTGGGTTCGATCCTTGGGTTGGGAAGATCCCCTGGAGAAGGAAAAGTCTCCCCCACTCCGGTATTCTGGCCTGGAGAGTTCCCTGGGCTGTATAGTCCATGGGGTCACAGAGTCGGACATGACTGAGCGCCTTTCACATTCAGTACAGAAGACACCATGTTATCTCCATGGAAAATTCTAACTAGTTTTTTTTTTTTAACGCCCGTGACTTCCCTTCTGTATGTCTCCATTCATCTCTTCATTCTGTAAAAACAGTGATAGTGGTAGCAGCTGTTGGTATCAGCAGGGTCTAACAGTCTTTCTTGCCCTGTCTTTTGGAGACTCCAAGACAAATGTATTCATAGATTAGAATTTTTTTAAAGGTTTTATTTATTTTTATTTTGGCTGTGCTGTGTCTTCCTCACGACATGAGGGATTCTCCTGCTACAGAGCAGGGCTCATGAGCACACAGGCTCTCAAACTGTGGCTCAAGGACTCAGAAGTTGCCGCGCGGCATGTGGGATCTTAGTTCCCTGACCAGGGATGGAACCCTTGTCCCCTGCATCGTAAGGCAGATTCTTGACCACTGGACCACCAGGAAAGTCCTCATAAATTATAAGCTCCAAATGAGCAGCAGCAGCAGCAAGTGTAATACTGAGGGCGGTGAGATTTCCTATTCTTGAAGAACTCTTGGCTCCCTTTCTTCGGGGCCAGCACAGGTCAGTGAAATTATAATCATACTTCAAACACAGAATGCATGAGTCAGGAAGAGTCAAGGCCACAGGCCCCTCCAGCCAGAACTACAAGGCAAAGCTGGCTTCAGTGCCCGAGTCCCATCCCTGGCTCTGAACCGTGGGAACTGCGAAGCGGCTGGAGCGTGACTCACCTGCTAACTCTGAATGACACATGGGATCAATTATCCCCGAACCACGGCATCCAGAGCCCTGCTGGAATGACTTACACACTTCAGCTTTAAACTTACCTGGCTCAGCTGTCTCACGAAATTAGCACTAGAGCAAAAACATTTAGAAAATGAACCTTCAAGTGTTGCAGATCAGGATATTTGGGACCAGAGAGGTCACCTCATGGACCCAAGGTCACACTGCCGGCTACTTGGCAAGCCCCGGGAGCCTGAAGTCAGGGACAAGGAGGATTTCCTTGGAATGGTATTTTACAGGAAGTGCAGGACTCTGCTGCTGAGACAAGTTCAGTTCAGTCGCTCAGTCATGTCTGACTCTGCGACCCCATGGACTGCAGCACTACAGGCTTCCCTGTCCGTCACCAACACTTGGAACTTGCTCAGACTCATGTCCATTGAGTCGGTGATGCCATCCAACCGTCCCATCCTCTGTCATCCCCTTCTCCTCCTGCCCTCAATCTTTCCCAGCTTCAGGGTCTTTTCCAGTGAGTCAGCTCTTCACATCAGGTGGCCAAAGCATTGGAGTTTCAGCTTCAACATCAGTCCTTCAATGAATATTCAGGACTGATTTCCTTTAGGATGGACTGGTTGGATCTCCTTGCAGTCCAAGGGACTCTCAAGAGTCTTCTCCAACACCACAGTTCAAAAGCATCAATTCTTCGGTGCTCAGCTTTCTTTATAGTCCAACTCTCACATCCATACATGACTACTGGAAAAACCATAGCTTTGACTAGACAGACCTTTATCAGCAAAGTAATGTCTCTGCTTTTTAATATGCTGTCTAGGTTGGTCATAGCATTTCTTCCAAGGAGCAAGCATCTTTTAATTTCATGGTTGCAGTCACCATCTACAGTGATTTTGGAGCCCACGAAAATGAAGTCTGTCACTATTTCCATTGTTCCCCATCTATTTGCCATGAAGTGATGGGACTCCATGCCATGATTTTTGTTTTTCGAATGTTGAGTTTTAAGCCAACTTTTTCACTCTCTTCTTTCACTTTCATTAAGAGGCTCTTTATTTCCTCTTCTCTTTCTGCCATAAGAGTGGTGTCATCTGCATATCTGAGGTTATTGATATTTCTCCCGGCAATTTTGATTCCAGCTTGTGCTTCCTCCAGCCCTGCATTTCTCATGATGTACTCTGCATATAAGTTAAATAAGCAGGCTGACAATATACAGCCTTGACGTACTGCTTTCCCAATTTGGAACCAGTCTGTTGTTCCATGTCCAGTTCTAACTGTTGCTTCCTGACCTGCATACAGGTTTCTCAGGAGGCAGATAAGGTGGTCTGGTATTCCCATCTCTCTTAAGAATTTTCCACAGTTTGTTGTGATCCACACAAAGGCTTTGCAATAATCAATAAAGCAGATGTTTTTCTGGAATTCTCTTTTCTATGATCCAACAAATGTTGGCCATTTGATCTCTGGTTCCTCTGCCTTTGCTAAATCTAGCTTGAATAGCTGAAAGTTCATGGTTCACGTACTGGTAAAGCCAGGCTTGGAGAATTTGGGGCATTACTTTACTGCTGTGTGAGATGAGTGCAGTTGTGCGGTAGTTGGAACATTCTTTGGCATTGCCCTTCTTCGGGATGAGACAAGTGCGTGTGTGCTAAGTCACTCAGTCGTGTCCGAGTGACCCCGTGGACTGTAGCGCACCAGGCTCCTCTGCCCATGGGACTGTCTGGGCAGGAGTACTGGAGTGGGTTGCCGTGCCCTCTTCTCAACCCAGGGATCGAACCTGCGTTTCTATGTCTCCTACCTTGGCAGGCGGGTTCTTCGCCACCAGTCCCACGTGGGAAGCCCCGCTGTCTGAGGGTGGGGTTTCAGCTTCTACTTGGGTGTGTTCCGGGATGCAGCGATGGTTCCGTGGCCTCTTCTCCGTTTTCCCATGATTTGCACTGGATGGTTTGCTGTGAGGACACCATCCTCTCAGTCCTCTAAATCTTAAGAATCCAGGGAAACCAAGGCCAGTTCCTGCTCTCGGAAAAGTTGAGAACCCGTCATCTCCATTGGTTAAAAACAATTAAAAAAAAACAAAAACAGAATAATGTTAATACTAATATAACACATACCAGGTTCCTGCATCCCAGAATTAATGAGTATTAACATTTTCTTCAAGGTATATTAGAATCTTTGTTTTTTTTCTTTAGAATGGTGCAGGCACTGTAAGATACAGGCTGAATCTACCATTTGGCTTGATCAGCCAGATTTTTAATTTTAGTATATGTGCGGCCGAAGCGAGCACAGATCAGCCAGATTTCTATCAAATTAGAATACAGAACTAGCATGGGAAAGTTCTATTTTTTTTTTTAATATGGTACATAGGTGGGTCATGAGATGAGGTTTGACAAATGCTTATCACTGTGTTTTTTAAAAAATTAATTGACTGCTTTTTGGCTGTGCTGGGTCTGTCTTGCTGTGTCCGGGCTCTGTCTGGCTGTGGCGAGCAGGGGCTGCCCTCTAGTTGTATGCTTGCAGTTATCATTGTGGTGGCTTCTCTTGTGGCAGAGCTTAGGCTCCAGACGCAGGGGCTTCAGTTGTATCACATGGGCTTATTCGCTGTGGCTCGAGGTCCTTGGAGCACGTAGATGTTGGTAGTTGTGCCACAAGGACTCAGGAGTTGTGGCCCACGGGCTTAGCTGCTCCGCAGCACGTGGCGTCTTCCCAGACCAGGGATCTGTGCCACCAGGGAAATCTCTATCACATATTTTAAATTGCATTTTACCATTGGCACTAAAAGGAAAGATTGTCATTTACGTCATATTTCGCTGCTTTTCACTTCCTCTTAAAACAGGGAGTAACCTGGGGGTTTTTGTCTGCTGGCAGGAAATGGTTAGGTTTGAAAGAAGCCGGAGAATAAAAGTTAAGTTCACAGATGTCCAGTGACATCTGTCCCTGGACAGACTAGAGAGAGTTAGAAAACCATGGAAGGTGAAAGCTCAGGTTTGCTGCCTACGGCTTTATTTCCGTTTACATCCTAGACAGTGTCTGATGTCAGTCAGGAAGGCTGAGTTCTGTGCGGCCACGAGAGCACTGGACGACTGCGGGCCCGTGCCTCGGCCTTGTGGCGCTGACCGTCTGACAGGTTGTGCTTCTGCGGCGACTGGACCCCACTGTCTGTGCCTTTACTGCCTTCTGTTTATTGTTCTGCAGTCTGGTGCCTCCTTGACCAGTTGGTCCTGATTCCCTCCATCTCATATAACAAGAAGGGGGAGCTGTGGTCACCAGAGGATGTTAGTGAGTTTCGCTAGTTTCTGTGCAAAACACATTGCCTGGCAGTCACGTTTGCACTGGGCAGCCGTTCCTGGACCAGCTCCACCCTGAGGGTCAAGTCTGCCTGCTCCTGGATCTGAGTCTCACCTCCAGGAATCCCTCTGTGTACCAGCTTGAAATGTGACTTTCTTAACGACAAGAACTGTGGTTTTCATTCATTTACTCGACCTGTTATAAGCCTGTCCTTTGGTTCATGGTGCTGCTTTTGGCGGGTGGGCGGGAGATTCCCAGGTGGTGCTAAAGAGCCTGCCTGCCAATGCAAGGGAAATTAGAGCTGCGAGTTTGAACCCTGGGTCAGGAAGATCCCTTGGAGGAGGGGGATGGCAACCCACTCCAGTATTCGCCTGGAGAATCCCCGGGACACAGGAGCCTGGCAGGCTACAGTCCATAGCGTCCCACAGAGTCGAACGCTACTGAACCGACTGAGCATGCACACGTGCACGCATACTGCTTTTCACCTTTATGTGAGGAACAGTCTCGAAGGTGAGTTACTTTAGCAAATTTCTTAACTGCTAAACTCTTTCCTGGCTAAAAACTGAGCCCTGCAACTCACCTGAAATACGAAGTAAGTCTACAGGCATCACTCCCACCTGGCACTCCTCTGATGCCATCGGGCCACTAAGGAAGCAGTGTGTCCTCACCGGGCATTCGGGGCTAAAACTGTGAATTCCTCTGAGAGTTCAGGGCTGGGCTCAGGGGAGCGGGTCACCTTGGCTCAAACCCAGTGCTCCGGACATCACAGCCAAACCTCTTCCTTCTGATTCTGTAAACCAGGAAAAGTATTCTCCATCCACAAGCCCAGGCACTGTCAGGCAGCAGGCAGAAAGAACCACTCCAAGGAGGAGACCTGCCACAACCATGACACTTTGTGGTTGAGAGAAGTGAGTTCAGACCCCAGCGGTGCCAGCAATCTGTGCTGTGGTCTGGGACAAATGCCTGTTTCTTCACACAGAAACAGTGAGAGCTCCAACGGGTGCTGGGGGTGAAGGGGTGAAGCTTCATGGCACCTGCACACAGCAGATACCCAATAAGTATGCATTATTCCACTCAAGATGAAGCAGAATATTCATTTTTGAAAAATATTTATTAAAAAACTAAAGTGAATGTGGAAAAAAAACAACCCAACAAACCAAACCCAACACATACCTTTAAATAGCAAGCATATGACACTGGTTATAAAGCTTTTCCAACTCTACTGATCTAGTCTTTCCCACCATCTAAGTTAAGGAGGGCCTCTGAGGGAAGCCAGGTGTAAACAGGTCACTTGTACTAGTGATGAGCAAAAACTACCTACGTGAGAGCTATCAATGGCTGCCCTTCTTGCTTTCCTAGGCAGTCCCTCCCAAACACAAGAGAGAGACTAGATCTCAGGACTGTGTTCGTGGGGATCTGTGGTTCTTGTTTCAATCTGGGAGTGGGGGTGTGTGTGGATGAAATAGTAGAAAGACAGACAAATCAGTAGAGGGTAACTGGAAAGCACCTTTAAAATCTGGACCCTTTCCCACAATTTAACCCAGTAATTCTCAACCTTTAGTGGTGGAAAGCATCCCCTGATGAGATTGTTAAATTCGCAGGCTCCCCAAACTGCATGTTTCAGATAAGCACTCCATTGATTCCGCGCACACTGGTTAGCCATCCGGTTTGAGAAACACTGTTTAAAATGTAGTAAAACAATGCTACCTCCTTTAACACAAGGTAAAAGCAAAGTTAAGGACTCTGCTACAGTTACTGTGCTTTCGTCAACGTGGAGGGACCAAAATAGGGAGGCAAGGAGCCTCCAATTCCTAACAAATATCCTGGTCTTAGAGGAGCCCACGCAACCTGTCAGGTGCTGTTCAGGAAGGAAGTAAAATTTAATAATCAAGTTGATTTCCGATCATAGGGTGGCCTCCAAACGATTAACCGGCCAACCTCCTCTGTCCCGGTTTAATGAACTTCGTTGGGCCAGTGCCAAATGGGAAGCTGCCGTTCAGACAGGACACGGGGAAACTGTGGGTCCTGACTTGTGAAGACATTGTGAATAAAACACCTGTAAAAACCTTTATTAACCAGAGAGCGCCACGCCCAAATCATGTTGGTGCGTCACGGACAACATGTAGAAATAGTCACATTGATGCCCAGGTTCCCGTTATCTGCAAAAAGATGCGCGATGGCTGTGTCGAACACCAGGCAGTCGCTGTTCATGATGGCCGCGGACACGCCGTCGTGGATGGACCGGGGCGTGGCCTCCCAGGTCAGTCTCCTCCGGTTCCCGTTCAGTTCCAGTCTGTAGGCGAAGTTCTCGGCCTGCTTGCGGGTGCCGATGAGCAGGACGATGGCGAAGAACTGCTGGTGGCCCTCATACTTCTCCTGCTTCTCCAGCACCAGCATGAAGTGATGGCCGAAACACGACTGCATCATCACCCAGTCCACAGCTCCTGGCAGGTTAATGTCTGTGGCCAGGAAGACGATGTCTTCTCCCTGAAGGGTGGTGATGCTCTTGTGGGCGTGCATGAGATGGGACATCACGGCCTCCAGGGACCCCTGCCACTTGCAGGAAGCGCCGGGGCAAGGGCATGAGTAGGGGCGGTATTCACAGACGTCTTCGTGCTCCGGCTTCTCCGTGTGGTGCAGGGTGAGGGAACAGCCCGTGGTCGCATACTGCGGGGACAGAGAGCAGCACAGTGAGACAGGGGCTCCTCCACCTCGGAGGCTGCAAGCCTCAGGTTTTCCAGACTCAACCGGCATGTCTGTTTCAACGACTTTCGTTCCAGGCGAGTTAAATATCGCAGACTGAAAAGTCTCAGGGCCTACTCATCCTCAGCACTGCCAGGCGAAGATCAGGGGCCCATCCCAGCCGGGAATGAGCTGCATTCCCTCCCCTGTTCCAACATAGTTGAAAACGTGAGAACTCAAGCACTCTTACAAATGCTTCAAACAAAACTGTGGAGCCAGCCCTAGAAAACCTGGCTTTCCCCTTATTTTCTGTGAATTTAAAGAATTAAAAAAAAAAAAGAATTTAGAACTGCTTGTGTGCATTGAGTGCTAAATCACTTAAGTTGTGCTCGACTCTTTGTGACCCTATGGACCGCAGCCCTCCAGGCTCCTCTGTCCATGGGATTTTCCAGGCAGGAATACTGGAGTGGGGTGCCATGCCCGCCTTCAGGGGATCTCCCCAACCCAGGGATGCAACCCGCATCTCCTGTATTGGCAGGCCGGTTCTTTACCACTAGCACCATAGAATTGCTTAGGGGTAGGACAAGGATGAATGTCATCTTCAGACTGGTTTTCACCGACAGTTTTACAGCCAGTGTAATCCCCCCCCCCCCCCCCCCCCCCCCGCTGACCCCGTCCACTGCTCCTGGCTCCAGCTGTGACCAGCAGGTGGGCTGTGGGAAAGCGGCCCTGAGGTCCCTGCTCTTGCTGGTGGAGTGACCAGCCCAGTGCAGAAGAGGCTGGAGACCCCTCACGTTGCTAGAACCGTGAGCTTGCCTTCTTTACCTTCTATCCCCTGCCCCGAGGGTGGGCCTTGGACATACATTTTTTAGGAAAAGAAAGCAGATTCAAGAGCTCAGGGTTCCAGCCAGTGGAGCTTACAGTGAGCAGGGCCTCACTCTCTCCAAGTCCACTGGACTGGCCTCAGTCCCCTCCCTCACGCCCCTCTCTCATCTCCTGGTGAGCCGGTAGTCAGGTCCTCCTAGGCCCGGGAGGAAGCGGAACTAGAGTGGGCGCTTGTCCTGGGTGGGCTTCCCAACACCGTCAGTCTGTCCTTCAGACGCTGCCTTAATAGGGAGGGAACAAAACCTTTCTCTCCCCGCACAGTCCTGATGGATAAATCACACCTATCACGGGAAAAGACCACGCCACAGGAATTAAGACTCCTGCACCCAAGCCTCATGAGTGACCCTGCTAATTCCCGGACACCAGATGGAGGATGAGGCCACGAGTAGACGCTCGCTCAGAGGACTGTGCTGTAGGTCTGTCAAGAATAAGGAAACCTGAATGGCCGCTTCAGGTGAAACCAGAAGTCAGCTTCCTCCCCCTCGAGCCCAGAGTGGCAGGTGCCCCATTTGGGTTCCCGCACTTGGGTTCCCCCACCCCGTGCTGAGACAGGAAGACATCACATGATGGTAGGGCCACATGGACTTTCTTCTGGTCCCACTGGGTGACTTGCAGGATCTTCGTCCCCTGACCCGGGGTTGAACCCAGGGCCACAGTGGTGAAAGCCCCGAGTCCTAACCACCGGACCACCAGGGAATTCCCTTGCTTCATTTTTCTGAGATGCTGTGTCCAAGGCTGAAAACACAAAACCGAACCCCACAGCTGCTTCTGCGTCTCCCTGCCCGTCCTTAGGGAATAATCCCTTATAAATTTTTAAAATAGGTCAAATTCTGATCTTTGCAGCTGAATTAAATCACTAGCAGTAAGCAGGCCCCAAACGTCTTCTCCTTACAAGACCCTAAGCTGCAGTCACAGGAGCAGGTATGGAGGAGAAGGCCGCCACCACCCTTAGAGAGATGAGTCTCCCCTAATAAGGGAGGAGGAGGTGGCTCACAGAGACAATCAGCTCCTTCCTCCTCCGTGCCGAAGGTGAACTGTAATGGTCTTCAGTAGAAACTGGCAGAAATAGTTCACTGTTATTTATTAATACTTTGCCTGTAGGAACTGCTTATTCATCTTTGAAAACCATGGACTAATTTTAAAAGCATGGGTATGAAACAATCAAGAAGAAGGAACAAATTTACTTATCCAGATATATTTATAGTTTGTGTTCCTAGCAGTGTACGGCCTTAAAAAAACAAATCTCTACTAACTGTGTTTTAAATCCAGGGTGAGGCTCAGAATACAGAGCCTTCTGACACTCTTCTCTGAGTGATGGGTGAGACACTTCTGCCAAGCGTTTAAAAACACACATCCAGGGTGGGGTTGGGGGCAGCAGGAGTGATGGCCCCGCCCCCCCCAAAAAAAGAAATAAAAATAAAAACACACATCCAACGTAGCAAAAATTAGCCCAGAACCTGGCCGACTTCCTGGCTGAAACAAACCCTCAATATTTGGATCTGAAGACCTTTCAGAAGAGGCTGTTTACCACAGTTGCCCAGGAATAATTCCAGGAACGAGATGAACTCTGGCTTAGAATGTACAGAAAAAGTACTACCTGCCCTCTTCCCCCGCCCAAAGCCCCAAACTACTTCAGGTTCACCAAGTCAAATGTACAACAAATATTTATCACCAAGCGATCATTCAAGAACTTTTTCTTGTGTAACTCAGGTAGGAATATTTATATTCTGAATTATTGGGTTGCCTTACAAGTCACATACTTTTCCTTCCACCCAAATATAGAGGATAGGGGACCTCCCCAAATTACACAAATAGACCAGGCATTACTTAGCATGTGTGTGGACAGTGACTTGTGAGAAAAGATCTTACTGCAGCCTCTGTTAACTTAAGTAAATACCATCTTGAAGTGTTACGTGCTTACTCCACTTTTTCTAAACAAGTGCCAGTCTAGTCCTTCTCTTTTCCATCATGGGTGAGGGCGTGTCTTCATGACCACGGGCGCCACTGCCAGGACGACCGAATTAGAGACGATGGTCTCTACAAGGGAAAAATCTAGACTTTGAACGTGTGCACTGACACTCACACAAACACACACACCCTCGTGCCACATCTGATTCTTGTGACAGTCTCGCCACTGTTTTGGAATGACGCTCTTGTCATCAAGAGCGTTAGGAGTGCTCCTGCAGGGATCAGACCCCGCCTTTGGGGTCTGCAAATCTCCAGAGACAGTCTGCAGAACGGTTTAGGGGCCTCTGAGGAGCACACCCACGTTGCACGGGTCCCTGGGCTGTGTCTTCTCGATAAGCGCCAAGGGTCCCTGAGGGCCGCCACCCCGCGTGGTGCAGACCCCGCCCCTGGGGCGCCTGCTGTCAGAGGGGCTGAACCCTGCAACAGTAAACAGCTGGAACACATCAGAAATACAGTTTCCTGTGCAAAGGAAGACGGGGAGGGCAGAGGTGACGGGTGATTTCACAGTGGAGACAGGTTGAGGAGACGGGGGTATGGGAAGCTTCGCTGGGGAGGAGGCAGACTGTGGAAGGAGTAGTTCCATCTGGTTCCAGCGTGGGGTGAGCGGAGCATGCGTTGGGGACAAAACCTAATGAGCAGGTGGGTCCAGGTTCCGTCTAGGACGTTACTGGCAGTTTAATTCATTTCCAGGGTTTCTCTGCAGTGGCACTGCTGACAAAGAGCAAATGTGTCTTGGTTTGGGGGCTGTGCTGTGCGCTGAAGCGTGTTCAGTGGCATCCCTGGCCTTGAAGATGCCAGGAGAGCTCCCCCCACCCCACCACGTGGTGACCACCAGAAATGTCACCAGGCATGGCCACATGTCTCCTGGGTGGCAAAATCACCCGCGTTGAGAGCCCCTGATTTCAGTGAGTGACACAGCCTGGCCTCCGCACTCCCAGGCGTGAGGAGGGGCCACAGCAGGAAGCCGGGCCGGCTGCTCACCGCCCTGCCCGGCTGCTCACCGCCCTGCCCAGCGGGTGCCACCGGGGCCCTCCAGGAAATCATCCAGGCACAACACACAAGCTAGACCTCGACGGCCTGAGCAGCATGGATGGAGGCTGGGGCGCTGGTTCCGCCCGTTTTACAAAATGACTCATCCCAGCCGTGTGGTCATCCATGGCCACACCAGGGTCAGAGCCTGGAGTTTCTGGATCCTCTGTGGCTCCTTCTCTGAAATAGGGGTCAAAGAACCAATCTTTTATGGAAAAAGAAATCGGCCTTGCTCTCCCCACCCCACCCCTCCCAGCCTACCACCCAACATACACAAAACCCAGGGTCCACAGATATGCTGTTTCTGGAAACTGGTTCAAATGTGAACTTCTTCCTGGTTTGCAAGGAGAAAAACAGCCCCAAACGCAGCTATCCCTAAGGAATGAGGCGGCAGCACATCACAAACAAGTAACCAGTAATTAGGCCCTCCCCGCCTTCTCTGGCATCTGGCTAGAAAGTCCTGAGGTTTCCCTCCTCTTGCTCTGGCCAGGGCCTGCCCACCGGTGGCAGGGTTCAAAGAATGCCTGTTTTTCTTGAGACGACCAGTTCTTGGAGGCACACACTTGTCTCTGAGATAAAGCACCTGGGCTGCTTTGCAGAGGGCTACCTGCGGCCTGGGACACATCCGCGGTTATAAATGAGATTTCTCCCCCAGGAAATACCTGCTCATCTCCCCTGGGGCGGGGGATGCGAGGTGGGATTTGCTTTAAGTAAACCCCTCTTTAAGCTGGGGTCAGGGGAGGCACGACCACACACATGAGCCCAAAGCTAAAGAAGAATGCAGGGCAGGGGGAGAGATGGCCCAGCAAAGCAATGCTGAAATAACACTTCTGACTTTTCCTTTAGAAATTTTCCACGTTGCGATGGCTCAAAAGTCTTGTGCAAACACGTTCTGCCGCTGTGAAAAGGCGACGGGGGACCCTGGTGCCTCATTCTGATGTCTTTGCAGAAAGCAGTAAAGAGTGCCAATTCTTTTCCTGGACACGGGGTTTGAAGGTGGTTTTACTTAAGCTGGAATTTAGACAAGGTTTTCTCCTTTTTGGCACAGAGACCCCTGATACACAAATACACATGACGAGGCATGTCAGAGACACAGGCAAACA